CAGAGCTTCTGAAAGGGCTTTATCTAATGTCGAGGGCTTAGAGCGAATCACATCTTTTGCAAGTGAGGCCCCAAGTGCATCGGTGAAATGATCAATACAAGCTTGCTCTAAACTAGCTGGGCTCAAGGTCGGGTAAGCCTCTCCACAAAGGCGTTTAATATCAATGCTCAGATCCAACAAGGTTTCTCCTACCTTTCTTTGTCGAGCCTTGAGCGTAGCTTTGGCGGTTTCGGGGACCTGGCGCATTCCGATTTTTTCGCGTAGGGCCTTGACCATGCGCTGGTAGGAGTTCTTGTCGTCCAACGGGAGTTGGGACATGACCCCGCATGCTTTCTCCTTCATGCACAAAACCAATTGATTTGCTTTTTCTTCTTCACTCCAATCGTTCCTTCTCGCACAGACTTAAAACTGATCCAAAAACGCCTGGAAGTCTGTTTCGTTTCCACTACCCGAAAATTTTTCGGGATTCACTACAGTCGATTTCGCCGACTGTCTCTTAAAAGGCAACCGCTTGCTTTCCATCTCCGATACCTTCTCCAACGCTTTCTTCACCGATTCCCTCGTTTCGTCCCTCTCACTGATTAGTGTGGACTCCCATTTCTTGATTTCACCGAGCTGCTGGACGACTCGTTTGTGTTCTTTCTCCAACGCTTCAAGGCTCACCTGTGTTTGTTGAAATTCCTAGTTTGTCGATCGCAAAGTTGAGTTTGCCAGCTTCAACTGCTTGGTTAACCGCTCGATAACATCCTCCAGCATTTCCCTAGAAATCATTTCGTCCTTATCCCACCGCTGCCACTAGTGTAACGTTTAATAAACCTCCTTCAATACAATTAGCGGTGGCGACACTACATCAACACAACAAAATGGCCGACCCGATTTTCCCGCTCTCTTCCTTTTTGTCCTGGGGCGAGACTACCCTCGTTTCCTAGCAACGTTACACTATCCTTAACTTATGTTGTAGCATTAGCTTACATAAGCCTTTCCTTTTCCCTTTAATCGTTTGCCTTTACAGTTCGAAGCACACAACTACTACCTCTACTTTGTCATCCCGTTTTCCCGTAATATTTGATTCGTGGCTTCTTCCAATAAATATTCGCATTGATTTAACTTGATTTCTGTGGAATTATTCAACCGGTCAACGCCCGATTCTTCAAGCTCCTGGGGTCAAACTCCACTTAACTCACTCTGCACGTGACTTCGCCCTGAAAGGTGACAGGTCTTACGTCAATTAAAGAATGAAAAGCTTTCTGATAAGAAAGATAAAGCTCCTAAAAGGGAATGAAATTTATTTCAAAGCTGGTTAACGTAAAATGTGCAGATGTTGACAGTTAAGCTCATCTTGAGTTTTTGTGATCAATTATCAGGTTAACATTGGCCAATGGAATGGTATTAGTTATTTAGATGGAGTTCAGATGAATCGCACGTATAATTGCTGGGTGCGCTGAAGGTGAGATATTTAATACATCCTTCGGGCACAATTTCAGATGCAAAGTGTAGCAAAGAGAAGCCATGTGAAAAAATAGGTCAAGAAATGTCTGATTTATTGTGTTTACATTATTCTAGCGATTTCATAGACTTGGTGGATTTTTATATTTCTTTTACCGTTTTCAGGGTCTTGGAACTGAGTACCTGTCAACCAATGGACTCATGCAGACTACAGAACTGAATGGAATAAAATAGTTAGAAACGAAATTTGGTGACTGACTCTCTTTTTCTTCTTTGTAAACCTAAACAGCCAAGCTCAAGAAACTCTAAAAAAAACGCGGTTTGTTTTAGAATACGTATCATTCAGGGCCGAGTTGTTTAAAAGGGCGGATAACGCTATTGAACGGGTGAAAGATAAGTGATAATTGTAAAGAGATTTATCAAGCAACTTTATTTTCTGGATAGATTTGATAACATCCCCCACGCAAACAAAATGGAGAATTTCTTCCTATTATGCAACAGATAGAATTCTGGATTACCGTGTATGACTGCAAAGGGCAATTCTGGAATTGGCTAGAGTCATGCGATTCCAAAATGGAGGATATTATAGAATTGAGCTCTCTTAGCCCTTTTATGAAGGATCGAATTTCAGTATAGCGACCTGTGAAGGATTAGTCTACCTGTAAACGATGTGAAACGTTCTTTTGAGCAACTTATGGAAAATTTACATTATGATGTTGTTTTGCCTGAGGCATGTGACCGAGGAAATTTTCTTTCACTTTAGTATTTCTCTCCAGCGTTTCCGATAGTGTTCTATTTATTTAATGTACTAGTCGCTTTTTTTCTGTGTACTGGGTTTGTAAATAATCTAATAGAAAAACTCTCTAACATGCGACGTGCTTTTACAAAAACTGAGAAAAATCGATAAATGCGATAGTATGCAATAGCCAGCTCGCAGGAGAAATCTAGGCCAAACTGTTATTAAGACATCCGTCAAACTCTATGCCATCTGCAGCTTTTTCCCCATGACATTTTTAATTAAATTATTCATAGGATGGACTTTTAACCAAGAGGGCGCGGCGAAGAATGTTGCAATATGATTGGTTCTTGAAGAGGTGGAGATTTTCGAGTAACATTGAGACGGTGATCGACAGCATTGACACTTTTTAGTTTTGAATACACGAGTTTGTTTATCGATTCAAGGAGGTGCACTTAGGACAGTTCTTTGTCCTTTTTTTAGACATCAAAATTTCAATTACATAAAGACATCTGCTTATGTACTAGTGTGTATTAAAAACCTACAGATTTACATAGTTTATTATTGTATTTGTCATTGCATCCATGACATGCCAAGAATTCCATTCCTTTTTTTCAGTTTCTTAGACTTCGTCGTTTATGTAGTGATGACTCTGATTTATTCGACAAATCATAGGCAATGTGCCATGTTTATCGAGAAACGAGGCTATCCTGTTTCTGTCTCTCAAGCGGACCACCACAACGCCCAACTAATTGATTGACGCCAGCACTACGAACATCACGTAAGAAAACTACCGACCGCCTTCCATTCACTCACAACCACGAATTTAAATCCATGTGATTATTCTTAAAAACTTTAAATGACTTTAAAATTATTCTGAGACAACTGCCAAAAGTCAGATATCAGCGAGAAAACTCTATTGTGTTCGGCAGACGCACACTCCTCCGATTTTTTGTTCTTCAGATGATTTGATTCAAGTGCATATTCATGTTTGCGTGGGTAAGTAATTGCTTCGACCCAAGTTTTGATCCAGGTGAACATACGGCAATAACGCAACAAACACTTGAAAAGTTTTTAGATACGCCAACTCCATTAGCAAAAAATCCAAGCTACTTCAGTGAGCCTTGTCATCTGGAGCATATGTGTCCCTCCGCTATCATACTAGCCCACAAAGTACTTTAAGGTACTTCAAAAAAGAGTGGGAGATCTAAGCAGGTGATTTCACAAAATTTGGAATAAATGTGAGAGCGTTGGGCTGTTCTTCATAGCCCATATCGGGTTTCACGAGAAAGCATCATGAAGTGGTTATTCCTTCTTGTTCTGTGCGCGGTCGCAATCGTCCAGGGTCTCAAAGGTGAGAATAATCGGATCTGGCATTTTTCTTAACATTGTGCTTTTGATTTCGTCGTCAATGCCAGTGCAAGGAATTTTTATCAGTTCGCATTTAATACAAAGTTTTGTAAACTTACCTTGGAAAGGTTGTAACTTGTGTACCTGGACTTAAATCTTAAAGGGATTGAATGGGCATTTGGATCTATCTTCCGAACTTACGAGCTCAGTTCACTTTCGTACGAACGAGCGAGGTTTAGGAGCTAAAGGCATCGCCATTTTTCGGTATTATCTTTCGTTCCTGATGAACTGAAATCTTTTATTAACACATTGGATCATTATGTCAGCTCACTTTCCTTTAATAGAACTTTGCAATATTCGATTGAGCAAATTTCTATGACTTTTTCGCATTGTCATTGTGCAATTCAAACATTTCTCTAGTCATGAAAGTTACATTTGGAGAACCGTCTACTGAACCAAAGAAAAGAGTCATTTAAAATCTTCGCAATAAAAACTAAGGCATTACTGAGATAAACGTGATCGGAGAGTGACACTCCCAGAAGTCACAGGACATTAAGTAATATTTTTATATTAATATTCCCATTCTGAACGCGGCTGTTAGAAAGAAATGTTATTATTATTTTCTTTGTTTTCTTTGCATCCCTAAAATTGCAGAGCTAGAAAATCCAAAGTTATTCGAAGGAGACGTGGTCTTAGAACGTAGACAAGCGGCTGCAATTAGGATGGGTGGCTTTGGAAGAGCTGCAAATATCGGTCGACGGTGGCCTGGTGGTGTTATGGTTATGTCTGTTCATCCATCATTACGTAAGTTCAAAATGAATTTGTGACGAACAGTTCCGTGAGCAAATTGCTTTAAAAGACAAGTGATTATAAGCGCATTTTATTTGGTTCTTACTTATGATCTATGGGAGGATAGACGTTTTGATGACGTTATCGTTGAAAACATTTGGTTTTGTTATCATATAAAACATGAAGATTCCATGTTTCATCTGCCGACCTGCAATAGTTAATTTAATTTAATTTAGTTTAGTCCATTTTCACTGCATTAAGTTTTGCAGTAGAGAAGGACTAGAAAGGAACATAGGAACCATTCGTGCTAGTCCACCCTCCCACCCATCCCACCCCAGGGGAGGACATCCATCACACGGTAATTTCGTGTGTGGGAAATTAACGTCTCCTACCCCAACCCTGCGGGAGACGGGAC